TCTAATCACATGACATGGGTGCATACCAGCATGTTGGCTACTGCCTACCTGGAGATACTTCTCAGATAGATTCCTTTAGGAAAAGAAGAAGAGCGGGAGCAAACCAGTTTATAAATATTTGGCAATTTTTGACCAACTGGTGTTACTTACAGTTACAAAAGGCTAGAGAATTTGTAAAGCAAGACTTTAGAGATACAGGAATTGGGATGCATTCAGCCCTACCCTATTTGGCTTGAATTAAAAACATCTTCGTTTCCAAAGTTGTTTCTTTTCTAACGATCACTGTTAAGCAAGCAAACCTACTTTGCAAGGAAACAAACAGCCAGGTTCTGTTGAGAAAGATTCTTAAGTTCGTGCCTTGTAAAGACTTGCTGAAAGTCCTTCTCTTGCAATTTGAAAGCAACTTCTAACGTGTGCTCACGTTCTTTTCTTTCCGCAGCCTGTGGAGCTGGCAGACAACAGAGTGCAGAGGGATTTAATGGTTGTTAAAATGAGTGAAATGTCTTAAAATGGAACATTGAACAAGAAACAGGTGCATTTCTGTTGACAATCCACTGAATTCAGGCAAACTAAAACAAATACTGTTTTGGCCAACTATAACCCTTAATGTTTACCGATTTTCTTTATTAAAAAAAAACCCAAACAAACAAAAAAAATCCCCTATCTTGACTAACTGAATGCTGCACACACAAGTTGCAGTGGAGCATCCCAGTCACACACATCCCATAGTCACTGTCTTAAGACAGAGTCGTTCCTTCATGACAGATTCATTCCCTCTCTAGAACAACCTCAGCGTGTTACCAGGACACGTAGAATAAATGTGTGATAAAGCAGTCAGAGGCAGTGCAGAGGCAGTCCTCTTTTCCTCCAATTACTCACTTCCTCTACCAAAACGAGTTCCTGCTCTTTGGCAATACACTGAATTTTTATTTTAACATGTCCGATTTTATTTTCAGAACACCTCAGAGCCCAGGCTTGTACTGGGATCGGCTGGGGGGGGGCACACAA